ATTAAACGTCCACCACATGGCCCCGGTTTCAATCACAGCGTGAGGTTTGGGCGTTCCCGTACTCCGTAAGTTCTTCCATTTCCTTCGTGATGCCATGTGCTAATTAATCTGCCTTTTGTGCTGCCCAGTCTTCCCTTTTCATGGAAGGGTTTACTTTTCCGAGGATATTTGAGTTGAGTGCCAACTACGAAGTACCCCGTACTAGTCAGCGTCTTGCCAGCTACGGATAATTCGTCCAGTCCGTCACTTATTACTCTTCTCTTTCTTTCTCGAAATTGCGCGAACCGAGGGAGGCCACCGGGGCATCTCCGGCTAGAGATGCCCAACATTCACACAGGCTCGAGCGCGCCTATCAAAGCTGGCCTGTCCGATGGCGATTTTAACTCGGCCTGGCCACTGCTACTGTACCGGAGCCCTCCGATAAAAAGCCCTCTCTGTGGCTCCTTTTCCCCTTCATCTTCCCTGACCGTTGCATTTCTCGCTCGCTTAACCGTATGCCCGACCGGAATCTAGTAATATTATGGCCAAGCGGTAGCATCAAGAGTGGAATTTTACCTCAACTGCCTACCGAATTTCCGAGAAGGGAATAATTACTACTACGGAGTACTCTCTACTACAACGTGTGTGTCGGGGCACGCGGGATTACGCTTTTTCTGCCCTGGTGGAGCATTTCTGGGTATCGGTATGAGGCGGATTCGCGGTCTGACATTCCTTCAATTCGACGGGTACTCCATACAGATTCTCCGTGCTCCCTCTTATTGTCATCCAGTTCCTCTGTTGAACAGCTGCGAATTGAACAGCGACTACTCCGTAGTTCCCCAACATGATGTGCATACGGAGTATGCAGATTTCAGCTTCCTCCTCTGCTCCGGTCTGCTAAGGAGGCTAAGCTTTGCATCAAGAGAAGCTTGGGAGAGCCAAAACCTCAGCTCCACCCCTGGCCTCTCCAGACCCCAGTTCCATGATTAACTTATCAAGAATGGACACGCTAGTAGGCCGGAGATGCGCATCACCAGCGAATAGCAATCGTTCCATACCCGGCTTTCCTCTTGTTGGTGGGGGGTTACCAACACACCCATTCCAGTCAATCCTGGTCAATTATAATCCTCATCGGCGCTGACCACCAACAGAAATGTAATCATTATTATTTGTGGTTGTCTTGCATCATGGGGTCGCTCAAAGCTTTCTCCACAGATTGGCGTGGCCGGGGGAGAGAGGGATCGAGTTGTGCCTCAACCGGGGCCGCACGAAAACTGGACAGCGAATATATAAGTGACTGTCCATCCCCAAAAGAGCCTGTTACGTTCGCCCTGCCATTCCCGCCTGAGAGAGAGACCGAATAGCGGAGGGGGGGAACTCGCTGGAATTCATTGTCTACCACTGCAGAATTATCGTGCGGTTCGAGGCAAACCCTTGTCGAAACTCGCGTGCTTTCTGAGGCCGCAGACAGGGCTACTACCACCAGCATCATGCCGAATATCTTCACCCAGAATTTGGGGGAGACCCCTCGCCAGGCCTTAAACTGGAGGCTAGGATATGCTATCTTGTGTTTTGGTCTGATGGGTGCTAGTCGAGGTAAGCCCATACATTGATGTTATAGGGGGAGGGGGGCCAGAGGTGGTGTCTAGTTGAATGTCGGCTTTTCGCTGACTGTATTTCCTTCCCTTCCAGGCATCGACGAGGGCCTCATCTCAGGCACAGTCCAACAGAAAGCTTTCATTTCAAAATATCGCCTCAATGACCCTCTCCTAAGCGAGTCTGAAAAGGCCAATCTCCTCGGAAATATCACTGCTATGGTGCAGATTGGAAGCATAGGCGGTGCTCTGCTGTATGTTCCTCCGATCCCTCTATTCACTAGTTAGCGGTATCTGTACCGGCGCTTACGGCGTCAAAACATTCTAGTGCTTTCCTTATTACCGACAAAATTGGCCGTCTATGGGCAACTCGACAACTCTGCCTCATTTGGATAGCCGGCATCATTATCTTCATCACCTCCAATGGAAGAATCGGCCAGGTGTACGCTGGCCGGTTCATCGCGGGTCTTGGAATTGGACAAACCGCCGTTGTTGCTCCTACATATCTGGCTGAAATATCTCCACGTGCTATTCGTGGTCTTTGCATCTGTGCCTTTTCAGGTTCCGTGTATCTTGGTATCATGCTGAGTTACTTCGCCAGCTGGGGCTCTGCTCTTCATATCAGTAGCCATTCACAAAACCAATGGGTATGTGTTCTTCTTTGCCCAGCCCGTATCGTAAGCTTCAATACTGATTTCATTTGTGTAATTAGATCGTACCAACCAGTCTCCACTTGATGTTTGCTGGTATAATCCTTCTTTTGTCCATTGGTGTCCACGAATCCCCCAGATTCTTGGCCAGCAAGGGTAAGAAGGAAGAAGCCGCTGCCACCATGTCAAAGATCCGTAACCTGCCAGAGGATCACCCGTATGTTCAGACTGAAATGCTAGACATTTTTGAACAGGTGGAGAGAGAGAAAGAGGCTACCATGGGTCTCGGCTGGATAGGGCCGCTGAAGGAGCTCTTCATGACCCCTTCAAACCGATACCGCATAATGCTTGGATTGATGTCCCAGCTCTTGGCTCAGTGGTCTGGCGCCAACAGTATCACCATCTACGCACCAACCTTTTTCGCTATGCTGGGAACCACTGGCCAGTCAGAGAAGCTCTTTGCAACCGCCATTTTCGGTGTTGTGAAGCTCGTTGCTTCACTTGTCTGCGCTCTGTTCCTTGTTGATATGCTTGGTAGAAAACGGGCCCTCACTTACGGCATCATCCTCCAGTTCCTGAGCATGCTGTACGTGGCCATCTATCTTACTGTTGTCCCAGAAATCACAGAACACTTCCAGCCAATGGGAAATGCCAAACGCGCCGGAACAGCTGCCATTGTCGCCATTTATATTTCTGGAGTCGGTTGGGCCCTCGGATGGAACAGCATCCAGTATCTTATTAACGCCGAGATCTTCCCTCTCCGGGTCAGAGCTCTGGGATCCTCGATGGTTATGTGCTTCCATTTTGCCAATCAATAGTAAGTCTGCCGTATATACAACTCTCAGTGACTTTGGGAATATCGACTAACACTATATATAATAGTGGTAACTCGAAAGCGGTCCCCTCAATGCTTCTTGAAACTGCCATGAAGCCTCAGGGTACTTTCTTCTTCTTCGCTGCCGTTACCTTGCTTGGCTTAGTATGGATGTGGTTCTTCCTCCCCGAGACTGCAGGAAAGTCCCTTGAGGCCATGGACGAGATGTTCAATCTCCCTTGGTATGTCATTGGACGTAAAGGAGCTGCATTGACGGCTGGTGCTGGACACGCCGAGAACTATATGCGGGATGACGTCGAAAAGGTGATTCAGCATGAAGTGGCCTACGATGAACAAGTTACGAGCAGTGAAAAGTAGACATTTACCGGCTGTCATTCCATCCTGGCTACTTAGAGCCTGGCTAGGATTTTCTAAACGCCCTTTACATTAAATAGCAAGCAAGCTATGATCAATAGTACATTTTACGACCTAAATCTCTTTTCACTGTTTAATTCATCTCAACAAGGTGACCACAGCGTATACCTTTTATGAAGGAGGCTACTGTACATTGGTCGGATATCTAGCGATTACTTAGAGGAAACAACATCCTCACCCAATCACCGTACAGCACCAAAAGTATCAGACTTCCGACTACATCGATACCAAGGCTGCGTGAACAAAGCACAGATAATGATAAAACCTGATGAGCAAGTATTTCCGTCAGTGTCAACGAAATGAACCCTGCGCCATCGATGGTTTTAACAGTAGTCTGCCTGGTGCGAATCTCACCAGCCAGAGGTTTAATGGGATCCATGGATACCAGAGGTATCGCAATCAACACTGAGTCGTCGAGCTAACCAAGGCTTCATAGGGAATAAGGAGAGGCCTCATAATGACAGAATTTTAATTCGATTAGTGCTTCTTTTCTTATTGATTTTGTTTTCTAATGGCACAGTTCGCGGACGCCATATACGACAGCTATTTCAAAACAACAGATGGCCTAGAGCTCCAGGGCAGCTCTAAGAAAGAAGGAATTATCGACATCATAACGATGGAATCCGACCACGCTTTGTAGTTACTCCGGCGTGTCTGTGTATCTTGGGAGAAAAGACGGGGCACCGGTTGGAGGCGACCTAGGTAGCTCCCGCCAGGAATTCTGGTGCCAGCTGAGGCTCCATAGCTCATTAACTGATGCAGCCTTTGTTAATTATTTGAATTGTGCCCGGATGACATCAAGTTGACTATGTGGCTTGCATGTGTTTGCATGAGGCTCCCAGAAGCTAAATAATAGCTAAGTTTGCGCCGTCACCACAGCCACTGATATTGGCATTCTGTGTCAGTATGGCTGTAACTACCACAAGGCAGGCCGATTAAACGGTGGAAGACTGTTGCCTCCAAATTTGGGAAAATCCATAGGACACAGGAGCATGATGGATTCGCGGGGGACGACAAATTGCGGGACGTACAGGGACTGTCGAACTCTCAGCCTGGCGTATCGACCATCCTTTCTTGATCCCTGGCTGGTTATAACAACATATCCTCGACCTATAACTAGTTAGTGGTTACAGCATGCGGAAGGCGGCTTGATTTGCCAAAAATGCCGAAGCGACGGACAACCTTTGGTCTACCGCCTGAAGCTTCGCCTCTAAATGAGAGACTCGTACGGACCGCATGATGTCCTTCGAGCGCTATTGCTAGCCAACAATCATGCCAGACATGTTTGACTGGAGAGTCCATACGCAGTCCTGAACTCGCCATGTAGCGAAGCCGGTGCTCTCACCATAACTAGCTAACCAGTCAACTTGTCTCCGGCGAGTCAAGCCGATCACACAAGATCGGGCACACCCGAGCATGGGAACCAGGCGTTGCTGCTTGCCGCTGAGTCGTGCGAATGGCGTCGCCAGGGTTTTGGGAGCACAGCATACGGTTGTAGCAAGCGGATATTTCATATGCCACCCCCCTCATCCCTGCACTTTTGGTCAGGTTTCCTGGATCCTTAGCCACGGAGTATTCACATACTCCGTACGGCATGTTTAGCCTCTCCAGCTCAACAGCTCTTGGTCAGTCTTTGGTAGGGACTGGGCCTCTGTGACTCCTCGATTGCCTGAATTTTGATCCCTTGGCCCCTTTTCCTATCAGTCAAACGACAAATGTCAGCCGAGATATTGTGATACAGAGATGGGTTGCACCGAAGGAGCCAACCCGGCGCTGAAAGGAGCGTGCCTTACTTGGCATGTGGATGTCCTTTTCTTATCATGCACCCCGTAACTAACTAACTAGTTACTCCGCACAGGAAGATATCCTTTTCTTCATGCCGGCATGGAGTCCGGGGTCGAGAGAACTCAGCTCGCTGCATTGCAATATAACTGGCTGGCCGGCCGGATGATGGATGGATGTTGCTGGCCCGGAACCGCCAAATCACCCAAACCCCCAAGGTCGATATCAAACAAATGACAGCGAATTGAACCAGCGTCCCGCCCCCCCCTGGTCGGGTCGCATTTCTTGACTTCGGATTCTCATCCATTTCCGCCCTTTCTAACCACTTTCATCCCGGCTTGAGTAGTAGTCGCTGGCCTTGTCACGCTTAAACCCCGGGGGTGGCGAAAGGGCAAACGAGCGCTCGAGCAAGGCAAATACAGCGCTACGCTGGCTGACAGGCGGCCCGCTAGTTATCTCGCGATCTTCGCACCAACCGTCTAGTTAGCCGACGTTGAAGAACTGGCGTTCTCTCCATTCTTATTTTCAGATATCGTCTGGTGTTGGGTTAAGCCTTGATCAGCAGCAAACCGATCATCATTGGGCCGTGCGTGTTGACCTGTTTCCTGGATCAAAAAGGGACGGATCGCAGTGTCGATTACTGGCGGGCAGCTGGGAATAGGGGCGTTTACTAAGCTACAACTGCTGCGAAATACTGGGGATTGACGTGCAGATCTGGGGGTGATCGTCGATGCCACAGTAAATGGATTTATGATATCACTGCCCAAGGCCAGGGGGTCGGATAATGTCATTCATCCCCAGGGCGAGAGTGAAAATTCTCAAGCCTTCCCACCCTCCACCTTGGCTAAAGAAGGGAAGCTAGCATGTGTTTATGCTATATATGGTACTCTCGTCTTGCCTGAAAGTTTATAGAGGCCTCTTTCTTGTGCCTTTCTGCATTCCCCGCGATTGATCGCCAATATCTAACGCCATTTGATATATTGGCTGTATACCCACCGCACTCTTGGCTGCTATCAGGTAATCTATCACGAACATCTGCTTCGTATCGATAGCAGGAGTGGAGAGCACGCATTTTCTTTTGGCGCCCTGATCTTTCTCTCGCTAGCCTTTGGACATCCCGGGTGAAGAACCGAACCCCGGCTTTGATATTCCTACGCCGGCGATAAAGCATGGAGCCAGATGGGAAACAGGGGCAGTGTTGCTCATTATACAAACACCGTCTAGTCATGAAGATCTGCCGCTCACTCTAATAGCTGTTATCATGCGTTTTGCTATGATCAACGCCAAAGATCGTCAAAAGGACCATTGTACTGGATAAGTTGGTCAGAGCTTTTTATATCGGTCAACAGATCTCGGCTTGGACGGACCGTAGAATATTCGCGAATACCAGCTTCTCTCAGCCCATACTCCTACAGGGGTATGGGCATCACAAGATGGGTTCACGCTCCTCAGACCCCTGAGACCTGCGGTGTTACCGCGGCCATCCGTTTGAATCAGGCTTGCAGCATGACGATCTCAACCTTGGGACAGCCAGAGAGTAGGTGGTGGCTGACCGATATCTGCTTGCTCGATGTATGTCTCCCCGGAATAGCAATAGACACTCCCGTTCCTGGGCAGACTGGGCCTCTCCGCATCTTGCCGATGATATTTTTATACCATCACTTTTGTTATTCGCCAGAGATACATGCCTGGTATTCAACTCGCCGGCGATATTACATGGTTGCATACCTTAGGAGAAAAAAGCATGTCTGGGAGCCCGAGGCGTGCGGAGCATTGTCCCGCACACCCTCTCATGAATCAAGGGCTGGAAAGATGACCAGGTCTCCCTAGGGTAGCCGGGGTGAAGTGAAGGGGGCAGGGGAAGTGTCTTTGGACGGGTATAAAAGCTGACCATCAATCCCATCAACTCGAGCATGTCTAGACTGCAATTCATCAACATTTCAATCAACCAAATCTAGCAACTCCTCACAATGGGCTGCATCAAGGTTATCTCCGTCTTCCTCGCGGCCATCGCTGCCGTCGATGCCCGCGCTTTCTTCCACAACCGTGGCGGCAACGATGTCATCCCCAACTCTTACATCGTTGTCATGAAGGACGGTGTTACTGCTGAGGATTTTGACTCCCATATCTCCTCTGTTGCTGCCACCCACAGCCTCAACAAGGCTAAGCGTGGCTCCGAGACCGTCGGACACAAGGACTCTTTCAACATCAACGGATGGAGAGCCTATAACGGCCACTTCGACGAGGCCACCATCGAATCTATCCTCAAAGATGACAAGGTTAGCCCTGAAGCCCTCTGAAGTCCATTTGTACCCTTATTTCTGCTTTCTTCGGGTTCATTCTGACAGATAAGTCTAGGTCAACTATGTAGAGCATGACCGCGTTGTCAAGCTGGCTGCTCTCACCACCCAGCCAAACGCTCCCACTTGGGGTTTGGGCAGAGTCTCCCACAAGGCTCCTGGAAACAAAGACTTTGTCTATGACAGCTCTGCTGGCCAAGGCATCACCATCTATGGCGTTGACACCGGTATTGATATCCGCCACCCCGAATTCGCTGGCCGTATCCGCTGGGGAACCAACACCGTCGACAACGACAACACTGATGGCAACGGCCACGGAACCCACACAGCTGGTACCTTCGCTGGCACTACATACGGAGTTGCTAAGAAGGCCAATATTGTCGCCGTCAAAGTCCTTTCCGCTGGAGGCTCCGGCTCTACCTCTGGTGTGATAAAGGGTATTGACTGGTGTGTTACCGACGCCCGATCCAAGAACGCTCTCGGCAAAGCTGCCCTCAACCTTAGCTTGGGTGGCTCTTTCAGCCAGGCTAGCAACGATGCTGTCACCCGCGCCCAGGAAGCTGGTATCTTCGTGGCTGTCGCCGCTGGAAACGACAACGTAAGTTCTTACTGGTCTTTCACCTCACTCCCTGCCCGACGATACTAATCACACTTTGAATAATATAGAGGGATGCCAAGAATTCTTCCCCGGCCTCTGCTCCAGCTGTCTGCACCGCCGCCTCCTCCACGATTGATGACCAGAAGTCCTCTTTCTCCAACTGGGGTACCATTGGTAAGTTATTATTCGATCCTCAGCGCCTACCTTACCCCTCACCTCTCTCACGTTCCGTGACTAACACATTTGAATAGTTGACATTTATGCCCCCGGCTCCAACATCCTCTCTGCTGCCCCAGGCGGTGGTACCCGTACCCTGTCCGGAACCTCCATGGCCTCTCCCCACGTTTGTGGTGTTGGTGCTGCCATGCTTGCCCAGGGTGTTAGCGTTGCTCAGGCCTGCGACCGCTTGAAGCAGATTGGTAACGCCGTTATCCGCAACCCAGGAACTGGCACCACCAACCGTCTCCTCTACAACGGAAGTGGACGATAAAGGACTAATCCCCTAAATGCGTCTTTCCCTAGCTTTATACTAGTGATATAGGGTGCTGCTGCTTAATTTTGATCAATATGACGCTTGCCGTGGCCGGAATGTTGATTGATGTACATACTTCCCAACCAGTTACATGCACATAGTTTTGCTTCATCTTGGACATGTTGAATGTGCCGAGACTACCTTCGTTACATGCTTCTGCAACGCCGGAGCCAATGAAGACCCAATCTTATTCAGCTTGCTTCTTGATTTATCGGGCCCTTGAAGGAAAAGCATCTGTAAACAGATGGTGATGGATAGTTCCATTTTAAACGTCGGACTTGGATAAAATAAAGTTGAAATAGTGCTCGCTGACTAATAGATTGATAACAAAGTTCTAAGCACGTGGCAGTCACTTAATTTCTTGGCGTTTATGCGGCGTGGATCCGGATGGATTAGGGAAGCCGCGAGAAGTAACCGGGATTACGTAACATGAAGATCAATCAGGAGAAGCGGAAGATCCACAACGAGGCGATGCGTAAATATATAGGGAACACTTTTCAGGAGGGCAGTGAAGGGAAAATAATATATCCTAAGCCTACGCCGACATTCAATTATTCTTCTTGCCAAGTGCTCAAGCTCGATTGCAGTTTGATGGCTGCATACTAGTTACGTATTCCGATTAACTGGAACGAGTCACTATGAACAAGACTTCTCGGACGGATGAGCCATATGAAGGAGATGGCTACAACCAAAATCCGAATCCTCTTTCGAACGATTTGGTCACCAATGAAGCCCTGAATGGCATTGTCAACTCGAGGGAGCTGAAGAGGGAGGAACCGCAGTCCTTGCATGGAGAAACGCAGAATGTTGATCGTGATAAGAATGCCAATACTCATCCTGCTACGGGATCGGGCGAGGCGTCGAACTCGCTGGCCAGTCCACTGACTGGTCAGCTCCCAAGAGGAGATAACAAACTTCCTCTGTCACAAATAGCTACTGTTACACCCGATAACGAAGCTGCTGGCCCCTCTGGCCCAGAGAATAGCCGTGATTCCCTAATTGAGCGAGTTAAGAAAGTTTTGCTCAAATTTTGCACTTTTATTGGCCCGGGATTTATGGTATCTGTGGCGTACAGTATGGGACATTCTTCATTCTCATTTTAAGAGCGTCTATGTCAGTGCTAATATCGTTTCTTCTAGTTGACCCCGGTAATTATTCAACTGGGATTGCTGCTGGAGCATCGTATCGGTTTCGGTTGTTGTTTGTCATTCTCATGGCGAACCTATTCGCCATTTTGCTCCAGTCCCTTGCTATTAAGCTTGGAACTGTAAGTGGATTAAATTTAGCAGAGGCATGCAGAGCCTTTCTCCCACGGTGGCTCAACATCCTGCTATATGTTCTTGCCGAAGTGGCCATTATTGCCACTGATATTGCTGAAGTATGTAGAGTCCTCGTACTAATCACCCTATGACTGACCAGCTTGCTGACTTGAAATAAAATAGGTAATTGGATTTGCGATCGGCTTGAATCTCCTTATCCCAAAGATACCGCTGATTGTCGGATGCGCAATCTCAATCTTCGACGTCATGATTATTCTGTTTTTCTATCGTCCAGATGGTTCCATGAAGGCTCTGCGTGCCTTTGAGGCAGTGATCATGTGTTTGGTGTTAGGCGTAGTCATTTGTTTTTGCATCCAGCTTTCACTCATCAAGAACGCTACTGTAGGAGAAGTCTTTAGGGGATATTTGCCGTCCGGACAGCTCGTTGAGGGACAAGCGTATGACCCCACCCATTTACCCATGAAACATTGCTAACCGGATGATAGCATCTACCAAGCATGTGGTATTCTCGGAGCAACAGTCATGCCGCACAGCCTCTACCTAGGGTCAGGAATAGTTCAGCCACGTCTGCGAGAGTATGATGCAAAAAGCAAACTCTTGCCGCCAGAACTACTGTCGGCATCTTCTTCCGTCAACGAAGGAGTCGACAAGGATAAATTGCACTACATTCCGTCCATCCGCGCGATCAGACACTCGCTGAAAATCTCCATTGCCGAACTGACGGTCTCCTTGTTTTCCTTCGCCCTCTTTGTCAATTCAGCAATTCTTATTGTTGCAGGTGCATCCTTATACAAAAATAAGGATGCTCTAGAGGCAGACATATTTGGGATCCACGCGCTTTTGTCAAAATCCATTTCTCCTGCAGTGGGTACAATTTTTGCTCTGGCATTGCTGCTTTCTGGAATCTCTGCCGGAGTTATTTGTACCATTGCTGGCCAAATGGTGAGCGAGGGCGCCTTGAATTGGAAGCTTCGGCCCTGGCTACGACGTTTGGTAACTCGAAGTATCAGTATCGTCCCAAGCATCATAATCGCAGCAGCTGTGGGGCGTCAGGGACTGAACGCAACATTGAACGCATCCCAAGTAGTATTGAGTATTGTACTGCCATTTATTACGGCACCCCTGATCTACTTTACTTGTCTCAACAAGTATATGACAGTCCAGCCCGGGAGTGCACGTTGTCTTGCACCCAATGAAGGCATATTCCGGAACAACCGTCAGGTCGTTGGGGCTGCACACCAGGGTGAAAGCATTATTAAAATGGCAAACTCATGGTACATCGCTGTCGTCGCTGGGCTGGTGTGGCTTTTTATCACCGTGATGAACGTCGCTAATCTGGTGCTCCTTGGGCAGGGGGCATGATTTCTCCTTTGAATGTGTGCTGTTGCATCCATGGCTTTGGGCTTTTTTGAGCCAATATGCAAGGGCATCGTGTCCTATATGCCAAATACCACAGGAGCGTTCAGTATAATTGTGTATTGATTCTCTAGAAGTTAAAGTTAGAGCCATCCGTAAAATATAACATACCAAAGGACTCATTTTGCCGCGCTTCTACAGCTCTAATACAGCTGGCATAAATCCTCTTACTCCATTACTCAGCCATACCTCTTCCCCGGACTTTAGTGTGTCAACCCGGATGACACCCTCGGAGCAGATGCCGGTATCCAGAGCATAACGCCGAGTTGTTGCTGAGTTTCCGCCACAAGATAGTAGAGGTGTGATCCATTCATCAACAACGGTGGCTGAGTCGTATGTTTCATCAACTACTCTTTTTCTAAAGTAAACGGTGGTGATGCTGCCTTCCATGGCTTCACCATTAAGGTTGTACATTAAAACTTCAATTGGGGCGGCCACAGATGGTAGGTTGGTCCTCATCCGGGCGGCATCATACACGTCTCTAACAGTGGTCTTGTGCTTGGTGAATAGAGATGGTTCAGTGGGCTGCGTATCCAGCCGTAGTTTCCAGTGGATAACATCCTTATTATGCGCACACAAGGATGAGAACGAAGGCTGAGGCGGAAGAAAGAAGATATGAGAGCTTAAAGGCGAGAGAATAGGTGAAGCCTCCACAGTCAGCTCGCCCTTACGATCTAACAGTATGCGCAAACGCCAAGGCCGAGATTTGTCTGGTAAGTGGGCATTGAGAGTCTCGGCAAATTTCTCGGCGGATGCAGCCTGTTGCATTCGTGAAATAGCCGCCTCCCAGTGGAAGTCAGACACAGCATCCAGGAGCCGTCCACGGTGGTATGTAAGGAGGTAGAAGGGCGCTAAATGCAATTCCAGGTGGCCGACCGGGTTGTTTATCTCATTCACAAGCTCTGGATCGTAGCGTAAGGTGGATATAACGCGGAAACCAGAGTTGGCATCAGCCATGATGTCCCCTCTGGCAGCCTCACGGGCGTTTATAGGTATCTACTCGTGATTTGGAGGCCAAGATTCAGATCACGCCGCTGATATCCATCATTTTCTCTAGCCACAGATGCCCTTCACAACCGTAAGCTGTAGCAAATGCCTCGGCGACCCAGTTGGTTATGGTATATGTTGTCGGTGGTTGTCGTTGATGTGCAAAATACAAGTTGAAGTTGAGCTTCTTGTAGTTATACGAGATTACATAAGCAACCCAGAAATTTTCTACTTCCCAAAGAGCTTGCACGATGTTTTCTCTCGCAAGCACTTCATCTTCGCTTCTTCTCAAGTCCCGTTCCGATAGATCTTACGCAGCCCTTTTCCGCATTTCTAATTCGTTTCCCATCGGAGGGTTTTCTTATTTTCTCTTTTAATTCCTGTTCTTTCTTGTCTCCAGCTCCAAAATTCACCCGGGGGGAGGGACTCCAAACCAGTTCAACTTCCACAACTTTATTATACAAAGAACTACCAGCTCACGCTTCTGGCCAGTCTCGCTACCAGCGGTTTATTGAGGCATCCTGATCGAGTGGATAGCGCTTGTTTTATAGATTTGACACTGGTGCCGGTCGCTGTTTACCCAGTGAATTAGACACCTTCATCGCAGCCATGGCACCCATCCAACCCGTCGTCCCATCGCTGCCATCATCCACTATTCAGCAGCACATCGAGAATACCGCTGCTTCATCGTCACCTTCGGTTTGGGATCGTATTTCATCATGGGCCTCAGAAAACAAGGCTCTAGTCTACACAATCGCTGGTGTTGCGGTTGTCGTGACAAGCGCTGGTGTGGTTTACTATTTGTCTGACACCGGTAGACCAACCCAGGTTTCTGGTCAATCGGGAGAGAAGCGCAAGAGCAAAAAAGAACGGCGAAAGGAAAAGAAGGCGGAGCAGGAAAAGAAAGCCGCCACGTCGGAGAAATCTGGTATGGCGGTTTAATCGGTCGCCCATTGCTGTTGAATTTGTTAACCTGAGAAATATATAGAACCCAAAGCGGCAACGGAGCAGGCACCAGAAGAACTCCCAGACGTTGATGAGTCCAACGTAGACAGCCTACCTGCTCAGGTACGTTTAAATCAATGGCGAACTCTATAACCTAGATGCTAAAGGCTTTATCTTTCATATAGACGAGAGAACGCTATGCTGGGATCCTTAAAGCTGCCGGAAACAAAGCGTTTGGTTCAAAGGACTACAACCGAGCAATCGAGCTCTATGGCAAGGCAATTCTCTGCAAACCTGATCCTGTCTACTACTCTAATCGCGCCGCCTGTTATAACGCCCTCGGTGAATGGGAGAAGGTGGTAGAGGATACCACCGCGGCCTTGGCCATGGATGATGAGTATATCAAGGCAATGAACAGACGGGCAAACGCATATGATAAGCTTGGAAAATACAGCGAGGCCCTACTTGATTACACTGCCAGCTGTATTCTTGATGGATTCGCCAGTGACACTGGCAAAGCTGCGGTGGAGAGGCTACTGAAACAGGTAGCCGAAGAGAAGGGCCGCGCTATCCTCGAAGGCAAGGGAAAGAAGTTGCCCAGTGCTACTTTTGTCTCAAACTACCTCCAGAGCTTCCGACCAAAGCCGGTTCCGGAAGAGCTTGACGAATCTGTTGAGTTGAAGGAAGACAGTGGTCTAGGCCAGCTCCGAAAGGGATTATTGGCAGTTGCCAAGTCAACTGGAGATGGATACGATGAGGCCGCACGAGCATTTGAAAAGGCCTTGGAGTTAGGTGAACTCGGCAAGCTTGAAGCTTTAGCCCTAAATATGCGCGCAACCTTCACCTACCTAGCTGGCGAAGCAGCCGCAGCACTTACCGACCTAAACAAGAGCATTGAACTTGATCCATCGCTTGTGCAGAGTTACATCAAACGTGCTAGCTTATACCTCGAGACGGGTATGTCTGACCGCATTTTATTAGCATATCGTGCCACATACTGACGCTTGAATTCCGTTTGATAGGCAACAGGGAATCAGCACAGGACGATTTCGACCTGGCTGTGACCCAGAACAAGGATGACCCAGATATTTATTACCATCGAGCACAACTTCATTTCATCCTTGGCGAGCTTGGGGAGGCTGCCAAGGATTACCAAAAATCAATTGACCTTGACCGGGACTTCATTTACTCACATATTCAATTGGGTGTTACTCAGTACAAGCTAGGCTCTGTTGCATCAGCAATGGCTACATTCAAGCGGACCCTCAAGAACTTCGAGAATGTGGCTGAGGTTTACAATTACTATGGCGAGCTTCTGCTTGATATGCAGAAATTCTCCGAAGCCATTGAGAAATTTGACCGTGCCGTTGAACTAGAGAAATCTAACAAACCCTGGAGCATCAACGTTCTGCCCCTAATTAATAAGGCTCTTGCTATCTTCCAGTGGAAGCAGGATTTCCAAGAAGCTGAAAACCTCTGCCAGAAGGCTCTTATTAGTAAGACTCACACGATGCTCCTTTTCGATTTTCTTTGGCGCCTACTAACCGAGTCTTTCTAGTTGATCCTGATTGCGATATTGCGATTGCTACCCTAGCTCAACTCCTTCTCCAGCAAGGAAAAGTTTCTCAAGCCTTGAAGTATTTCGAGCGCGCTGCCGAATTAGCACGAACAGAAGCAGAGGTGATAAATGCCGTCTCATACGCCGAAGCCACTCGCGCCCAGCTCGAGGTGCAGGAGAAGTACCCTAAGCTTGCCGCCAGACTAGCGCAGATGGGCGGTGCAGCGGGACTCGGTGCTCCTGGTGGTTTCTAAACTCGAACACAACAACCAACCAACAATACTGCCCAC